TCCTGAAATAAATATTTTAGGGAAAGTTTTTAAAGAAAAACCAACAGAGCAAGCCTATATATATATATTAACTGAGAAATCCTGGAACATATTTCCAAGGTGATTTAACAATTGCAAATTTTGATGCAAACTATTTCTTGTTCTACATTTTTAGGTTTACTTACATTAACTTTTATAAAGCTGTTTCAGAGCCAGTATCTTAGTTCAAGAATGTTCAGATTTACAGAAGAGATTGGCATTTTCTGCATATCCTGATTTTTAAAAAAATATGAACTCTTTTTATCCCCTCTTACTTTACTTTTGTGATTACATCTTTTAAACATACATTTCTTACTGAACTGTATTTCCTTAAAGCATTTTGATGCTTCAACGAATGAGGGAGCTCTACATTTCCAAGAAAGCATTTAGAAATATTTTATCTATGGAACTCCAAAACCTAGGAAAGGTCTGGTACAACTTATTTCAAACCAGAACATGCTGTTGTTTTAAAAAATAGCATACTAAAATTGCAATCCTAAGCAATTTCTTTTCAGGAAGCAAATTCCAATCAAAATTTAAGTATAGCATGCGGTTCAGCAAACATCCTTTAAAACAGAACAGTGTGCTCTTTTAAGATTTTATGTTCCTTATGAAATACTCACATACCTGTAACAATGATAAAGATTCTATTTAAAAAGAAAGTCAATGTGGAACCTTCTTTACCTCTATCATCTTTTTCTTAAGAAATACCTTTTGTTAATATCTGCAGGTTTATATTAAAACTCCTGGCGGATATATATTCCAGATTATATTTATTTCCTCATATGTTTCCTTTCACATTTGTGAAAATATATAATTAGTTATTTGATAGAATATGTTGATAGTCCAGTTAATAAGGCTAAATTTAATTAGTTCTAGTTCATGCTACAGAAAAATGAAATAAAGTATTTCTTTTCAAGTTACCAAATGTACTTGATAGATTCAAGAGTTACTGTAACTGTTTCAGCAGAATAGAAGTTTATCTTTTTTTATTTAATGTCTATGATCTCATTTCCTTAAGATCTTCCTTATAAAGTTTTCCACATAGTTTTGCAACATAAATAGTTTAGTAATGAACCAGAGAGGTTAAAATTTATCCTACTTGTCTATCTTATCAGCAAGTACCTTAAACTCAATAAACATTCCAGTAAAATGTGTTTCCAACAATACATTCCATTTAGAAAATATAAAAATAAATAAATACCTGTCTTCATCACCATCAACAGGAATAGCTATGCCAAAGACAGTGCTGGCAAGACTGTTCATAGGAGTAGTTGCAGGTAAATTAAGAGGGTTTGTTAAACTGTCCGGAATAGGTGGCTTCACATGAAGTTTGTTTTCAGCAACAAGAGAAAGTGGTGGTTGAGGTAGGGGTTCAGATTTTCTTCTACTATCATCAATCTGGCCTAAAGGCTGTGTCTGAAATTGTCCAATGTTAGATTGTGGTAGATTTGTAGGTACACCGCTTGTGCCTTGCATTAATGGAAGGCCAATATGTTGCTGGACAACACTGGAACTTCTACTGACAGTTGTATGGCTGGTCAGCTGAGATTGGACTAAAGTAACAGAGGCATTTGGCATAGTAACAGAAGTTGTAGACACATTAGGCACAGTAGTACCAGGTACAGCTACAGGCACATTCTGAACTCCGGAGACTATATTGTGTGGAGTACCAGCCACTTGACTGCTGCCACCCATTTGCTGCTGAGTCATGGATTTCTGTTGAACAGCCCCTGCATGTCCAAGGCCTTGTACCACACCTCCTGGTTGAGAAATGACAGTCTGAAGTGGAGTTGTCAGTCCACCCTGCATTAGCCCAGATCCCTGTCCTATTGTTTCGCCTGCTGGTGAAGCAACTCCCATCACTGGTACTAGAGGTGAAGGATTCTGACCAACTACCTGTGCTGCTGGAAGACTGGAAGCTCCAGTGCCTGTGACCGAGCCAGAAGCAGCCTGTTGTGTAGCTCCTTGAGACTGCATTACTGTCATATGCTGAATGTACTCTGGCTGACCAGGAGTCTGGGCTGACACCATGTGTACTGGTGTCATTTGCGACTGAGAGTAAGCAAACTGCTGAGACTGTGCCACTGGTACATTTGCTTGCTGTACTTGCTGTTGTGGCATAGGCAAACCTGGCTGAGCTATTGCTACATTTGTAGTTGGTAAGCCTTTCCCATTAGGCCCAGCTTGCCCCATGCTCTGTGCATTTACCTGTGTCTGCAACAGAGGTCCCATCACCTGCTGGCCTGCTACTGTGGCTCCCGAATAGATTGGCTGAGCACTACTATGAGGCTGCTGACCAATAATAAAATTAGGCTGCTGTGGAGAGGGCTGGTTTATTTTCTCTGGCTGGAGTAGCTGTGAAACAGCAGTAACAGAACTGTCAGCTAAGGAGTCAGGGCCATGCGCAGAAGTTGCCACACCTGAGACAATCAATGAACTACCAGTAGCACCTAAGCCACTGTCCCTATCTTGAACAGCTTGTTCAAAAGTACTGTTGTGTCTAATGCAATCACCAGTCCTGGCTAACACAGCCCCACCATCCGAGTCCCGATCATAGTATTCCATACACGTCCATCGTCCCCGTCTAAACGGCTCTCCAGTACCATGGTCTAGCTTGATCACTCTGAAGCGAGAACTGCATGCAGCAGCAGCCGTTAGAGGCATGGCTGGCGGACCAGCAGCTGGTTGCACACTGCTGCCTCCTGTCGCTATTGAGCAGGCTTGGCTGGCAGTCGCTGAAGGCATCACAGTGCTCCTGGGAACCGCTCCTCCATTGGCAACAGGCACAGCAGAAGGCGGCGGCTGGATCCCTCCAGAAGCTGCAGCAACAGCAGCAGCAGCTACTTGGCCATCCAGAAGCAAATTGGGAGAGACTGTCCCTGGAGTCTCAGCATCACCCACATTGTTGAGAGTTTCCTCGGAGGAACTGCGCTCACAGACATCTTCAGGTCCATAGTCGGTGGCACGGGACACATCGAAAATCTCCGATGAAACATCCTCTGTGCGGGATTCATCCGGGTCGTCCAAGCTCTCGGTATCCTCCGTGATGCTGCTGGCCACCTGGGCCGTCGTCACACTTGTGATCTGAAAACAGCTCTTTTTCTTGGCCGGCATCTTGGACATGGCTCCTTCCGAGAAAAACGCGGCTGAGAAGTCAGGGGGTTCCGCCCACCTGCCCTCGCCGGAGTCGACGAAAAACTAGGTGAGGACCTTGAAAGGGGTCCGAGCTGGCCACCACACACAAGCCTGGCCGGGCGTAACGAGGAGGAGGATCACGTTCTCTCTACGGCGCAGTCGCTGGCCGTCTCGCACATTCCTCCGGCCTCCCGACGCAGTCCGGGCTCAGCAGGCGGTCACCAGGCCTGGGGTTGGAGACGAGGCAAAAAGGGAAGGGGGGCGGCGGCCGGGCTCCTCCTCTTCCTCCCCTTGAGTAAAGCGGCGGGCCCCTCGGCGGGCAGGCGGCGGCGGCGCCGCCACCACCTCCTTCTCCTCCTCTCGCCTCTCCGCGAGTTCCGCTGTCCCCTTTCGCAGCCGAGGTTCCTTTCACAGCCGTTCTCGGGTTGCGCGGCCGGGGTGGCGCTATCACTCAAGCCGCTCCGCTGCCGGGCTTCCGGCCAGACCCGGGATTCCCGAGGCGGGACAACGCCGCTGATCCGTCCGCAAGCTTTCGGAGAGGGGCGGCGGCAGCCGGCGAGGCGTCCCTGAGGCGCAGGCCGCCCTGCCTCCCCGCTCTACCTGGAGATCAGCACCAGACGCATCATCTTCTGGGGAAGGAGAGAAAAGAGGGGACAAGAACGAGTCCGGTCACAGCGGCCCCCTCAGGCGGGCGGGCCTCCTAGACGCGGCGGGGTCGCTCGCTCCGTGCCGCCAGAGCAAACTCCCCCCGTCTGCCGAGCCAGGTGGCAGCCAGGCGGAGCGGCCGGCCTCCTTTCTCCCTTTTTCTGAAAAGCGCCGCGCACGCTCCGTTCCCCTGCGCCGCCGAAGGAGCTGAAATTCAAACTGCTCACTCCCCTCGCTCAAGATGGGGCTCAAATGGAGCCGCGGGGCAGGCTGGGAACTGGAGCAGGGCTGCTACTGCGGCAGCCTCGCTTGTCCCCGCCCCCCACGCAGGGGCGCGCGCTGACATCAGCACCAGCGGACCCGCCCCTCTCCTGCTCGAGCGGGTGAGAAATTTCATCCGGCCGAGAAAGGGGCGGGCGGGGAGGGAGGGAGGGAGGGAG